CAATAAATCACAATGCTTTTTCTATTATTATCTGTACCCAGAAAACAATAACTGCAAAAAAAAAGAAAGAACTGATCGATTAGAAAAAGTATTGGTTGTAATAGGGAGATTTTCCACTCGGAGGTAAATCCTCTTTACAGCGTTTCATTTTTTCATTTAGCGGAAAAAAATCAATAAGATCATATTTCTAATTTTCAGCTAGATGTTTATATGGTGGCCAACTGCGTACATCACTGATTTCTTCATCACATAATTTCTTATCAAGATGTGATGATCCACGTAATTCCATTCGATTCCAATAATAATGTTGACGAGCTCATTCAAAAAATTCATGAGAACCTGATGCATGAACATGTTGAAAACTTTCATCAGCAAACGCTTTATATCATGAATACATAATATTTCGTGGTTCATTTTTAACAAATTTAATAATTGATCATATTCTTCTAATAAACGAAGATGTTCTATTAAACTAATGTCTTTTGTTCAATAAGAAAACGATGAATTTGATCATCAAGTTGTTTTTGTCTTACATATGTTGAAATCGCTATTTATTGTTGATGTTTTGATGTATCACATTTATCAGCAAGTGCAGCTATTTCAATAAGTTTTATCTCAATAAATTCCTTACGATCTAATGAAACAATTTGATTTCGTTGACGAAATAGAGGAAAAATTTTTTTCCTATATTAATAAATTTAACAGACTCTTCTCAGACAACAATCGATAATAAAAAAAAACAAGGGTGTGGGTATAGATGTGGTTGTTAAGAGTGATGCCGGCATTTCCATCACACCCACACCCACATTCGAAATGATCTACATGAAGCTCAAATGAACCACGAACACGATCTGAAGATATACCTTTGTGTTGTACTGATGTCATCGAAACATGAATAGAAGAATGAATTGCTTCTTATAGTACTATCTTCACCAGAAACATAAAAAACTCATTGATTGACCAATAACCGATCAAAATGTTACTGGAGCAAGATCTATTCAAACTTTAATTTTCATTATTTTAGTATGAGAGATTTACAGTTTTCGTGAAAACAACAATATCAGAGTATAAATATACATATTCTCTAATCTATATTTATTCTTTCCTTTGAATTTATTTAATAAACATCTTTTTTTTTCATTATTTCTGCACGTTAGAGTTGACTATATATATTTATTTGTAATGAGAATAGATACGAATGTGACCAAAAGCTGGATTTTTTAAAATTGAAAAATTCAAAAGAATAGAGAAAAAAAATGAGGTCATATTGGATTGTCTTCAAAATTTTGTTCGCTATAATATATTAATTTCAATGATTTCTCGAGGATACGAATTATTGGAGCTTTACTGTTGGTGATATGATTTATACAATTAATGCATAATTTATCCATATATCCATCTAAAAAAATCCTTATTCTAATCTTCATCTTTCTGCAATGAAACGAACTCGAAATATGTCAATGCCACATGTACAATGAACAGTTGAGATCAAAATCACGGCTTAATTATGTTTGCATTGTTGGAAAAGTATATATTATTTCTTTACTTCAAATAATTTTTGAAAGAAAATTTGAAATTTCGTGTTGTAACTTGAAAAATCAAGGCAACCATTGTTATTATTCATTGTAACGAACTTTTTTTATTTTACAGAATGGCGCAAAAATCACTTTACCCAAAAAAAAATTGAATATCTCCTTTATAGCTCAAGCAAATGAGCTGATTTTTTTTATCAATGATAGAGACATGTTTACGCTTTATATCCATAAAGACATACCTAGAGAGACTCTTTGTTAAGCATCACTATTGACCTCAACAAGAAAAATTTTACTTTTTCACAGACAGAAAAAAAAACAGTATACTTAACAGAGAGTCTCTCTAGGCATGCCTTTATGGATATAAAGCGTGAACATGTCTCTATCATTGATAAAAAAAAATCAGTTCATTTGCTTGAGCTATAAAGGAGATATTCAATTTTTTTGGGTAAAGTGACTTTTGCGCCACCCTATATTTTCTTGAATTTCACTTCAGATTCATCAAACTGTGTGCTAAAAACTTCAAACATTCACTTGTAGTAGAAGTTTAGTACTGTCCATCAAGTTCTTCTGATACAACATCAACTGTATCAATGATCATCTTTTTTGCATGTAACCTTCAAACTTCAAGTGTTTTCAAATCATCAGAACATCCTATGATTAACTAATATGTGTCGTAAACTATGAATTATAATACATTTTACTTTTTCATGATGGAGAATCCTTAGCCTTTAGAATCCATAAAACTTATGTTCTACTATGTGAAAGAATGTTATTTTCAATCAACTTGGCCAATTGTTAGCTGACTTACTACAACATGAGTGCAGTTCGATCCACCGCTATCCGGATGAGCACTACTGCTATATGATTTAAAGATGATCTTGTCTATATCTTTCCAATAAAGAAGAATAAGTTGCGGTTTACCAAAAAGAAGTATTGCTGTATGTTTGTTGATCTCTATTGAATTTCGGCATCCTGTAATGGTTACTTGTAAATTGTCAGCCCAAGCAGCACATGCAGTGACAGAAACAAAGGTAAATTTTTCATTTGAATTTTTGACACCGATCGATGCATCATCCTTGAAAAATACTATGGTTGAACTACCGTCAGACGTAAAGGATGTCGCATATCCACTTTTTGGGTATTTTTGAATTGCGTACGATTTGTGCATAGAAGAAATTCCAGTCCATTTCAATCCTCGATATTCAGCTGAAATACAAGATAATTTGTCGAGTGTACCGTCGAGATCATCAAATGTAATTCTTATTTTTTTTATCAATGGATCTAAATTCATTATTCTTTCATTATCTTTATTGAATATATAACTATTAGTAATACACATACTCAATAAGCGCATTTCATGTAATTGAAGTGTAAGTTCGTGCATTTCACGTTTATTCTCTTTGTATTCATCTCGAAGTTGTCGAAGTTGTTCTTTCAAACAAATATTTTCTGTATGTTTTCTATCAGCATCACCTCTTTTATATACAATTTTGCAATCTTGACAAGTTAATTCGATTGATGTACAGTTACTTATATGATTATCAAAATCTTCTTTTATTATTTGTAATTGACAACCAGGACATTGTTGAGACTGGAAATTACATTCGATCTCATGTTTATCTAATCCTTCATATGAAATGATCTATGAAAAAAGAAATAAAAAATATAGAATTGAAAATATAATTATTCTTTAAATACTTCATTGCAACCAGTAGATTGATAGAAACAAGCAATTTGTAATTGAGAAAGTAGTTTAACAATGAATGGAGGACATTTTCGTTCAGCGAATATTTGGCATTGATTTGGACACTGGTTTGGATGGTTGATCAACCATTGATTGATACATGTTGAACAGAAAGGTGTTTCACATGTTCGACAGGCAACTGGTTTCCAAAGTAATTCATGACAAATAGAACATTCAAGATTATTAACATTGAATCCAGGTGAGCCACGAATACGTTCAAAAGGCACACCTGTTTGTTGAGTTGATGTCATCTAAACAAAATGAAAAGTAAATCATCAACATTAACAAACTTTCATGCGTAAACTATAAATAAAGTTCTATTTATTTTCATTATAATTCACGACTAAATGTTTATATTAATACAGATTTCAATGTTGATTTGACTTTTTTTTTATATCAACAACGTGATGTTTATAATAAAATTAAGTCAATTTGATAAATACAAAAATACTCTTCTCTTTTGTTTTCTGTATCATGATGTGTAACAACAACAAAAGGATAGAAACAACATTCGAAAGACTTATAGAGAATTCAATTTAAGGATATAATCGTTGTTAAAAATACATTTATCATGTACTGATTGTCATGCTTGTTTTTTTCAATTCTATGTTTATCGTCGAATTAAATCAGTCCTCATCAGCGTCAATGCTCTGTGATCCGTGACTTGTGAGATTCAAAAGAAAATTTTCTTTGATATACATACCATTCTTATTGGATAAAATTTTCTCAGAAAATCTTCTTGTTTTTTTTTCTATTTATTAATCTAACGTTTGTTGTAAATTTAACTCAATATTTTCAGAGAAAAACATAAAATCAGAAAAATTTGTGGCGCCGTCTATAAAGTTATCTTTCATTTTTCTCAGATAAGATCGAGTTAAATCAAAAAAAGAAACTTCAGATCAATGAGTAGAACAAACAGAAAAATTCTCTGAGAAAAATTTATTCAATGGAATTGTTATATATGCTAAAGTACAGTTTTGCTTTAGAACCATCAGGCCATGGATCACTAGTCACCAATCAAAGATATATTAGAATAACGAAGAAAAAACATCGTTGTAATGAACGAATTTTAATTTTAACAATTGATTTTATTATAATCAGTAAGATATTATAACTTAATAATGATGAATGTTTTCAATAAATAAATATTTAATAGAGATTCGATAATTCAATTTTCGCTTTTCATTGGACAAATTATTTAAATTAATTAGAGGTTTCTTTTCATATAGGTCGAACTTTGCATTGGAAGATTTATATTCATTATCAAGATTCATTGCTAATCAAAAGTATATCTATAAAAGTAACCTTTGTCTATATTTTCCATTGAAGAATGAGAATTATATTCCGATTGTCTAATTGAATGTCGGTACGCTTTGATAGTCAACTGTAGGTCACAGTTTCAAACAGAGTACACCACGAGAGAAACAAGAATGAACATTTCCTTTGGTCGTTCATCATTGATTGAAGCATCTGTAGTGAAATATAAGATTTGTAGACACTTTTCGCTTGCTTTTTGATCGTATACAATCTATATATGTACAAAATACCGATCCATTTTAGTCCTTTACATTTATTCAAAATCAATAGGCAAACCATCAAATATGAAAGAGTGAATCTGTATGCTTTGTAGTTACTTCACTTCTTTTGTACAAGTCAATCGAATTTATTTACATTTCTCTTATAATTAGGAAAGTCTCTTATTTTAATAGTTGTTGTGATTCACAACTAGGACAATATATATATATTGATAAGCACATTCGATCTCATGTTTGTCTAGTACTTTATATGAAATTATCTATGATGAGAGATAAAATAATATGACTCAAGATATGAGAACTACATTTTTACAATCTTTCGATTGATAAAAATAATCTCTCTATGATTGAGAAAACAGTTTAGCAATTAATGAAGGACATTTTCGTTCAGTGAATGTCTCACAATCAATTCGGACATTTTGTTGGATTGTTGGAGGGGTGTCCAAGGACTGAGGAATAGGAATTCTTCCGATTCCTTAA